CAAAGGAGAACGTTACTATATAAAATTATTAATATTATTATCATTCAAAAAATAATCAATCGATTCTATCAGTCCTGTGAATGTAGTTCGTATTATTACTTATTAAAATATTAATTTATATTGTGGACACATATATATATATCCACAATTTGGTGACCCCGAAGATTGAACCTGCCCCCGACGATTTTTTTTTGAACCTACCCTAACGATTACTTTATACCTGCCCCCGACGAATTTTCTGAATCTACCCCAGCGATTACTTTATACCTGCACCCGAAGATTAGCTTGAACCTGCCCCCGACGAAATATTTGAATCTGCGCTCTACCCATACCCAACAAAGACAAACCCAAGCCATATTACGTCAATTGACAACAAGACGTCAAGTCATTCCATCAAGTTACAACAAGCGCCAGCCCAGTCTCGCAACCATCAAGATTCCAAACGTTTTGTTTACAGTCGTGTGCCGGTGAGTAAAGTCACTTTTCATTCCTGTAGGACTAATATTAAGAGGAATCAAAAAAATAATCATATTTTCAACAATTTTTATTTAACAAAAACAAATATTAAAAAAATTACTTTACTTTAATAGAAAACCTAAACGTATTTTCTAGACAATTTTTTATTAAAAATGATTGACCCTGCTGATGGTGACAATACCGCACACGAATTGCAAAATATTTCAAAACTGAAATTACCACCATTTTGGCCTTCTAATCCCGATATTTGGTTTCGACAAGTTGAAGCACAGTTTACTCTAACTAGAATTAGCAGTGAAAAAACAAAATTTAACATTCTTTTGGCAAATTTACCCACTGAGATCATCTCTACCGTGGTAGATCTCATACAGAACCCTCCAGACATAAATCCATATTCTTCACTCAAAAAATTGTTAATCGACAGGTTATCATTGAGTGAAGAAAAACGGCTGGACGATGTTCTGTTAGGTTCGCAAATGGGAGATCAAAAACCGTCAGATTTTTATCGAGCGATGTTGACCACGGTTGGTGGTTCTCAGGTGGTTAGTCCAAATTTATTATTAAAATTGTGGCAAAGGAGACTACCTCGTGTTGTTTCGGTTGCACTCCTCGCTTCTGGCAAAGAGGACGTTGTGGACATTCTTTCCATTGCCGACAAGGTGTGGGAATCAATGAATTTGACGTCGACCTCAACACACCTCTCGGAAGTTCAAAAACATCGCACCACAAAAACACCACCACACGACGAATTACTAACAACAATCCAAAATCTGACGTTAACGTGTCAAGCACTAGTGACTACCATTACACAACAACAACAACAACAGGACAACAGGACAAAAAATTTGGAAAATCAAATAAATTCTTTGACTACCCAATTTCAAAACATACCAACAAATACGTCGAAGAATTGTAATTGTAATTGTTTTCACAATTCTCGAGATAGACATCGTTCTTCGTCACGTCACTCGCGGAATAGATCTAATTCTACGAGTTATTCGACTATTTGTTGGTATCACCGTAAATTTGGAGACAACGCGGTTAAATGTGGAGGAACATATTGCAAATTTTATAATTCCTTCACCGACAAAAACAAAAATTTTCCATCGACATCAAAAAACTAATAAAGGTTTCAAAAGAAAAACAAAATTTTTCCAAATTCAAAATTTTGACAAAAAGTCAACCTCAATTTACGGTAAATTCTGTCAGTTCGCGACTTTTCATTTTTGACAATCAAAATAACCTAAATTTTTTAATTGACACTGGAGCTGACATTTCGGTTCTACCTCACAAATTATATCCGAAACGTAACCAAGATACCAACTCAAACCTTTCTGCCGCTAATGGTACTACAATTACTACATACGGTAAAAAAATGCTTACAATTTCATTAAATCTAAGAAGGAATTTCCCATTCGTATTTACTATAGCTAATGTTAGTAAACCAATCATTGGTGCGGATTTCCTTCATGCATTTGGTATCTTGGTGGATATAAAAAAGAAGCGATTGGTAGATTCGAAAACCAATTTGTTTTCAATTGGTTCCATTGTCAAAAATACTATTCCAACTCCCAAAATTTTTTCTTTTGAAACCAAATATACAACACTCTTAAAAAAATTTCCAAAATTAACGTCTACACCGGACTTTACAAAACCAGTTGGACATAACACTCGACACAGAATTGTTACCAACTCACACTTACCGTTTTGTCGTCCCCGACGTTTAGACGTGCACAAACACAACATCGCAAAGAAAGAATTCGAACAAATGGTGGCATTAGGAATCTGCCGACCCTCTTCTTCTTCTACAGCGTCGCCTCTTCACATGGTTCCTAAGAAAGATTCCAACGATTGGAGACCATGTGGAGACTACCGACAACTCAACAACATCACAGTTCCAGATCGTTATCCTCTTCCGCACATTCAAGATTTTAACTTACATTTACACAATTGCAAAATTTTTTCAAAATTAGATCTGGTACGAGCTTATCACCAAATTCCTGTAGAAGAAGACGATATTCCTAAAACGGCTATCACTACACCGTTTGGTCTGTTCGAATTCACGAGAATGCCTTTCGGTTTACGTAATGCGGCACAAACCTTTCAAAGATTCATAAACGAAGTTCTATCTGGCTTAGATTTCCTATTCGTATATCTAGATGATATTCTAGTAGCCAGTCGCAATGAAGAAGAACATTATCTTCATTTACAACAATTGTTTGAGAGGTTAAGCTCTTGTAATATTAATATACAACCAACAAAATGTGTTTTTGGAGTTACAGATTTAAATTTCCTAAGTCATCAAATTTCTGCTGAAGGCGTTCGCCCTTCGCAATCTAAGGTTAATGCCATAACTGAATTTCCAAAACCAACCACACTAAAACAATTACAGCGATTCTTAGGAATGATAAATTTTTATCACAGATTTTTACCAAACATCTCAAACATTTTAGCTCCTTTACATCATTTATCAAAAACACTTTATTCACAAAAACTTAAATCAATCACTTCTTGGACACACCATCACGACATTTCTTTCACTACAGCCAAAGAACTTTTATCAAAATCCGTCACTCTTGCACACCCATCACCACAAGCAACTCTTTCACTGACGACAGACGCCTCAAGTAAAGGTATAGGAGCAGTTTTATCACAGACTATAGACAATAAAACACAACCTTTAGCATTTTTTTCTCAAAAATTATCTTCAAGCCAAATAAATTATTCAACTTTTGATAGAGAATTGTTAGCAATTTACACTAGTATCAAATTCTTTAAACATTTTTTACATGGACATCAATTTGTAGTTTACACTGACCACAAACCTCTAATCAACACAATTTTTTCTAACACAGAAAAAACTCCACGTCAGACACGATATCTTACTTACATAACACAATTCACATCAGATATCAGGTACATTACAGGAGAATCAAACATTGTAGCGGACACGTTGTCCAGAACAAATATTGATTCTCTAAATTCACAGTACCCTGACACACAAACCTTAAAAAACGCGCAATTTAACGATACAGAATTAACACATTTACTAAACAAACAATACTCAAAGACACAAACTACTAAATATAACCTATCGCAACAAACAACATCACATTCAGATGTAAAGCTTTGGTGCGACATTTCAACAAACAATCCTCGAACATACATACCACAAAAATTTCGTAAAACAATTTTCAACAAATTTCACAACTTAACACATCCTGGTATTCGCGCTACTACACACATCATCAAAACACGATTCTTTTGGCCTCACATGACAAAACACATTCAGTTATGGACAAAAACCTGTTTGCGATGTCAACAAACAAAAGTTCAAAAGTACACAAAATCACCTATTAGTAAAATTCCGATACCAAAATTAAGATTCGATCATATCCACATTGATTTGGTCGGTCCTCTCACTCCGTCCCTTGGCTGCACATATGTGCTCACCGTAATAGATCGTTTCACGCGTTGGCCAGAAGCTTTTCCTCTCAAAGATATTGGTTCTTCTTCTATTGCGGATACTTTGTTTCGGCATTATTTCAGCCGATTTGGCATTCCTAGCACTATAACCCATGATCAGGGACGACAATTCGAATCAAAACTCTTTTCAAAATTTCACACCCTTCTAGGAACACGTCAAATTCATACATCCACCTTCCATCCCCAAAGCAACGGAATTTTAGAAAGGTTTCACCGTTCTTTAAAAACAGCCATAACTGCCAGAGGTAACACTACGAGGTGGAACAATGATCTGCCCTTGGTTCTCCTAGGCCTCAGATCATCTCTTAAGGAAGACCTAGGTTGTTCATCTGCTGAACTTGTATACGGTCAACCACTTAGGCTTCCAGGAGAATTTTTTGTTAATATTCAACACCCTTTGGAATCTGATCCATTGCTATCTAGTTTACGAGAAACATTCTCTTGCTTGAAACCAGTAAACACAGTTTTTCATTCCAACCAAAAATCATTTATTCATAAAGATTTATTTATTTCAAAATTTGTTTTTGTCAAAATTAATGGGATTCAACCCTCTTTAACACCAAGGTATGAAGGCCCATTTAAAGTGATAAAAACATTTCCGAAATATTTTGTAATTTTCAAAAATAACAAGGAAGTAGCTGTTAACATCAACAACCTTAAACCAGCATTTCTTTTAAAAGAAAATTCAACATGTCACCACAGCGCGGCAATCAATTCTCATAATATAAAAATTCAAAAAAAATATATTCCTTATTTTATTAATCTGTATAGGAGGGGAAGTGGCTGTAGCATGCTGTGCACACGACATGTACAAAACAAAGGAGAACGTTACTATATAAAATTATTCCTATTATTATCATTTAAAATAATAATCAATCGATTCTATCAGTCCTGTGAATGTAGTTCGTATTATTACTTATTAAAATATTAATTTATATTGTGGACACATATATATATATTATTTGGTGATTTACTTTCCATTTTATGTGTGTAAAATTAAACTTCGGTTTTTGCACTTTAATGGATTTTTATTTTTAAATTTTCACTCAACCGGTTTCACTGTGTTTATACAGCATCTTCAGGAGTTATCCTACATAAATACAAATTTTCTTAAATAAATCTCGGATTAACGTGCTAAATTAAATTAATTTAAAAATTAATACAATAATAAAACTTACGTCAATTCCTTACAAAATATACATTAGATTCAATCATTTGGCAATTCCTCACTTGTTCCTATCGTTAGATTATGCAAATGATTTCTTTTAAGTTGTGATTATGAAAGATTAAAATATTTTATATAATTGAAGCGTCATGGAGTTGTGAAAGTTAGTTTGAGGTTATGTGTCAATTTGTTTGGGGATATTTTATTTTTCCGTTTGGCAATATATTTGAAATCAAAAATTTTTAATTTGAGGATAGTAACGAATTATTGTAACGTACATAGCAATAATTATTAAAACCACTTTTCATTTTTAAAAAATAGGGAGGAAGAGGGGGGTTTTTTTAAAGGTTATGGGTAGGATAATAAGGGATAGGTATGATGTCCATGGGATCCAGAGTTATTGCAATAACAAAATGACATCTTGTTTTGTTATCCTCGTTTAACCTGGGGGGATATGTTGGGTTGGTTGTAATATAGAGTCTATAAATTGATAGGGATGGGGGTTAAAGGGGTTGATGGGATAACAGGATANGAACATATTGCAAATTTTATAATTCCTTCACCGACAAAAACAAAAATTTTCCATCGACATCAAAAAACTAATAAAGGTTTCAAAAGAAAAACAAAATTTTTCCAAATTCAAAATTTTGACAAAAAGTCAACCTCAATTTACGGTAAATTCTGTCAGTTCGCGACTTTTCATTTTTGACAATCAAAATAACCTAAATTTTTTAATTGACACTGGAGCTGACATTTCGGTTCTACCTCACAAATTATATCCGAAACGTAACCAAGATACCAACTCAAACCTTTCTGCCGCTAATGGTACTACAATTACTACATACGGTAAAAAAATGCTTACAATTTCATTAAATCTAAGAAGGAATTTCCCATTCATATTTACTATAGCTAATGTTAGTAAACCAATCATTGGTGCGGATTTCCTTCATGCATTTGGTATCTTGGTGGATATAAAAAAGAAGCGATTGGTAGATTCGAAAACCAGTTTGTTTTCAATTGTCAAAAACACTATTCCAACTCCCAAAATTTTTTCTTTTGAAACCAAATATACAACACTTAAAAAAATTTCCAAAATTAACGTCTACACCGGACTTTACAAAACCAGTTGGACATAACACTCGACACAGAATTGTTACCAACTCACACTTACCGTTTTGCCGTCCCCGACGTTTAGACGTGCACAAACACAACATCGCAAAGAAAGAATTCGAACAAATGGTGGCATTAGGAATCTGCCGACCCTCTTCTTCTTCTACAGCGTCACCTCTTCACATGGTTCCTAAGAAAGATTCCAACGATTGGTGACCATGTGGAGACTACCGACAACTCAACAACATCACAGTTCCAGATCGTTATCCTCTTCCGCACATTCAAGATTTTAACTTACATTTACACAATTGCAAAATTTTTTCAAAATTAGATCTGGTACGAGCTTATCACCAAATTCCTGTAGAAGAAGACGATATTCCTAAAACGGCTATCACTACACCGTTTGGTCTGTTCGAATTCACGAGAATGCCTTTCGGTTTACGTAATGCGGCACAAACCTTTCAAAGATTTATAAACGAAGTTCTATCTGGCTTAGATTTCCTATTCGTATATCTAGATGATATTCTAGTAGCCAGTCGCAATGAAGAAGAACATTATCTTCATTTACAACAATTGTTTGAGAGGTTAAGCTCTTGTAATATTAATATACAACCAACAAAATGTGTTTTTGGAGTTACAGATTTAAATTTCCTAAGTCATCAAATTTCTGCTGAAGGCGTTCGCCCTTCGCAATCTAAGGTTAATGCCATAACTGAATTTCCAAAACCAACCACACTAAAACAATTACAGCGATTCTTAGGAATGATAAATTTTTATCACAGATTTTTACCAAACATCTCAAACATTTTAGCTCCTTTACATCATTTATCAAAAACACTTTATTCACAAAAACTTAAATCAATCACCTCTTGGACACACCTTCACGACATTTCTTTCACTACAGCCAAAGAACTTTTATCAAAATCCGTCACTCTTGCACACCCATCACCACAAGCAACTCTTTCACTGACGACAGACGCCTCAAGTAAAGGTATAGGAGCAGTTTTATCACAGACTATAGACAATAAAACACAACCTTTAGCATTTTTTTCTCAAAAATTATCTTCAAGCCAAATAAATTATTCAACTTTTGATAGAGAATTGTTAGCAATTTACACTAGTATCAAATTCTTTAAACATTTTTTACATGGACAT